GATGAGCGCCGGGCACGACGCGATGACCGAGAGCACTACAACGAGGGCCGACGATGCCATGAACGACGGGACGAGGGACGTGCCCGATACCACGATCGCGAAGATCCACGGGACGACGGGGCGGGCACACGGCCAAAAATTACTATGCCCACGTTCACGGGAAAGGATCCGGATGCATGGTTGAGTCGGGCGATGCAATTCTTTGAGATCAATGATGTGCCAAGGTACGAACGAGTGCAAATTGCTGCCTATCACCTTGATGGGGAAGCAAACGTTTGGTGGCAATGGGTGATGCACAAAAACCATGGTGAGCACATGCGATGGAGAGATTTTGAAAAAGAGCTTATCACGAGGTTTGGCTCGAGTGACTGCCACGATTACAACGAGGCTTTGTCAAGGATCAAACAAGTGGGTAGTCTAAGGAATTATCAAAAAGAGTTCGAGCGAATCGCTAGTAGGGTATGAGACTGGCCCGAGGCTGCGTTAGTGGGAACGTTTGTTGGAGGACTTAAAGATGAACTGGCAGCCGAAGTGAGGTTGGACAGGTCAGGCTCGATGCGAGCAGCCGTTGAGTCGGCTAGATTGCACGAGGAACATCTTGTGGCGATACGCAAGGCCAAGCCGAGCGACACACGCACGGATACCAAGCGCACGAACACCGCAACCGAGGAACTGGCAGGGCGAACGGAGAGCAAACCGATGGGCGAGATTGTTCGAACGACGAGCAACATACGAGGGCTTACCGACGAAGAGATGCAACGACGGCGAGAAAAAGGCCTTTGCTATTCGTGCAACGAAAAGTTTACGCCAGGCCACAGGTGCAAAGGTAAGGAGGTCTTTTTGTTGGAATTTGAGGAAGAAGAAGAACCAAGGGAGGAGTCTCTATTACATATGGTTAAAAGCAAGAAACGTGGTCCGAAGATGATCACATTCACGGCTGAAGTGGGAGGAAAATTGGTGGAAGTATTGGTCGATAGCGGATCAACGCTAAACTTCATTGATGAGGAGTTGTCTAAGGAAATTGAGATTCCATTCACCAAGGCAAAACCTTTTGGAGTCAAGGTAGCAAACGGGGAAAC